CTCTTCAGATGAGGAGGAAAGGAGGTAAACCTTGTTGAACCCGAACCTCATTCTCAGCTTTCCTTTTGAAAATTACACTTCCAAGTTTAGCTCGATCTCTAGCCAATTGACGAGACTGAAAACTAAGAGTACTAAGAGCCATATTATGAACCTCAATTGAATTCATGACCGTTAAAAGTGTATCTAACATTGAAGTAGGTGAATCCGAATGTTGAGAAAAGGGTAAACTTAATGGAGAGAATGAAGGTAAATGATTTGATAATAATTCAGATCGATTAGATTCAGTAGTTGTTCCCCATTGGTTCGTACTAACGATCAAACTTTGAATCGATTCTGATGTAGGTGAGATGAAAGTGGCTGAGAATGCAGTTAATAATGCTGAAGATTGAATCGTTAGAGGGATTTCTTGTAATATCTTAGAGACTGTAAGTTTATGATCTGCAAGAGTAATCAGATCAAGTCGAACTTCCAAGATTAATCAATCCAACTCTTAAATTCAAATTGAATCTTATGTACTTACTTTTGTGAATTGATTTTCCATTCTGATAAGCTTCAACAACGTTTTGAGAAAGACGATAAGCTTTTAAATTAACCGTGCCGTGGCCGAACTAGCTAAATCATAAACGATAGCTAATTCTTTACCAGCCAAAACTTTTGATTTAACAGATGATTTTGATGTAGGTGTAGTAGAAGTCGAGCCGATTTGAATTGAAATGAAAGTTTCAATAAAACCAGGTGTAGCTAAATGCTGAGAATTGATTGTAGAACAACAAAACCATACTATATTTGCATCTGCACCTAAAGCCGATAAATTTGGTAAGATTGAAGAAGCATATCTAGAAGCTAATTTCCAACCAACCAAAACCAAAACCAAAACATTGATCAGGTTTCAATTAGATTCTTATGACGAGTTTTTCTTGTGTCACTTACCCATCTTAGTACCTTTAGTTTCATCTCCTTCAGTTGTATCTCTCATAAGACACCCAGAAGGTACAGTCGACTCTGATATAACCGATACCCAAAAAATTGTATCAGTTTTCACGGAGTATCGGTTTTGTCAGAGCCAACTTCACTGAAAATTTTAAAAAAATGGCCGAAAATTATCGGTTTTGCCAAGATTATCGGTTTTGACAGTGTATCGGTTATATCAGAGTTGACTGTAATGGAAATGCATCACTTATATTTAAAATACCAGAAGTATCTGAACCTAAAAGTTGACCCGAAGCAATTTGATTTGAACCTGTAAACATAGATTCTCTTGCATGTTTAATTAGGTATCTTCATCACAGCCTTTTTGTTTGTATACCCAAAAAGCAAAGATAAAAAAATCCAGTCAATTATCATTTCATTTTGTTTAAAATTTGAATTAGAAAGTAAAGATAACTTACAAGACCAACTAATTTAACATTCTCAACTGGAACACTGACTATGGCTTGCTATCATGATAGCTGCTGCTGTTAAGGGTTATGATGTCATTTTTGGACAAAGTCGAATGGGGTTGTTGGTGTTGTTGTTCTGATCGGGTAAGTTGGTATTTTTCAAGTCCCTCGATTGGGAGCGCTTACATACATACAAAAAGGTCTTGACTCCTTGAAAGTTGAGAGACAAAATGTCTTGCATGTGACAAAGACTAAATACTACGTATGGGTTCATGGAGGTAAGTTGACAGTTTCCCGCGTGAAATATCAAAGTGCAGTTGCCCACATAGACTCATCCAGTTTGCTGAGCGGAATCTATGTTGAATGAGAAGTTCAGCCCAAGCTGGAGGTCAAAGATACCCAAGCTCGCTGATCATGAGATTGTTGACTAAGGACTGGCTAAGGCTAGGACACACAAAGGCAGATGAGATTAGACACTTTTTGGACACAATTGCAAGGCTATCAACCCCCCTGGACGCCCAGGCGGAATCTGACGGTCCTTGTGAATGGACTCCAGAGACTTTCAAGACTCTTCAAGATCGTCTGTAGATCGAATGCCAAACATATTTTTCAAACCCATCTCTCAACTAACGTCACTTACTCATCTTTCACTAAAATCTCCAAGTAACCGACTGCCTTACAAAGAAAGCTTTCTAGTAGACATTCTAGCAAACCTTCATCAACTCCAAAGTTTCGCTTGTTCAAGGATTGCCAATGCTCCTCTGAGCCAGCGACAAACTCAATCACCACTTGGAAAACATCTCGCTTCGCTTACTCACCTTGTCAAATTACATCTTCACGAAGCAGGATGTTTGGATGCCAGGTGGAACCAATATAAATGGAAAGGTTCCTTGAGGGCGTTATCGTTGATAGATTGCGATCCAATCCCAATCTTAGATTTACACGTCTTTATTGAACTTTTTAAGTCGACCTTAACAACTCTTGTATTGGTTAGGGTTACCACGCATCTCCCACGGTTTGGTCCAGAGTCTACAATCCAATTCAAATTACCTAGACTCACTAATCTAGAAATCTCATCTTGGTCCCTGGTTGATTTCCCAAGAGCTTTTCAAGATTCAAAGAACCTCTCATGGCTCTCGTTAGGTACCAGTGAATTTACCGAAGATGAGGACTTAGAAGGTTTAGTTCACGATCGACTTTGGCCTAAGCTTAAAACACTTGAGATTACTAAGCTTAACTAAGCCCCTCGCGCGGCCGCGTCCGCGCCCTCGCAGAGGGGCTTACGGCGAAAACACTTTTTTTGGCGGACGACCTCCAGATTTTAAGTCCCCGTAAGTAGTTTTTTAAACTTCTCTTCTTCACCTCACCGTAGAATCTTGCATCCATCTCGTATGTTGTTCTTCACAAGACCGTACACATCCTCATATCAAATTCAACAAGAAACCGGGGCTGTGATGTTTCCAGGAGACATTACCAGATCTGCTTCTTATGTCCTCATGTAACAGCCTAACAACACCTGTATTAGCTGTACTTGAGGTTTGGAGGTTTGGTCCATGGCACATACTCTCGCCAAAATAGACAAAAGTAGAAACCCTTATTTGCTATTGCCAAAACCCTTTAGTAAAGCTTACCAACCCCGTGAAGTACTTAACACCACTGCTACATTTGGCTTTGTGTGTTGACATCTCATTCCACCACCACACCTTTGAACTTCAACATCTCATTCAACCATTGCACCATGCTTACACGATCTCATCGTCCTGTCACTCAACCAGCATCCCCTCAATTGAACAACCAAGCAACTCAAGTGGCCTCTCATGACTCACGAATCTCCATAGAAACTTCCTTAATAAAGGACGACGACGATGATCAACGTGAAGTGATTCAGAAGTTATGTAGGTCTAGGTTGAAGTTAGAAGCTCAAGATCTTCAAGTTAACCCAACTTTGAGTCTATCCCGCGGCCGAGACACTTTCCTTATTGCAAGTACTGGATATGGGAAGTCTTTGGTCCCGGTATTATATTACTTGATGTTTCCGAAATCGGCAAAGCCAATTGTCTTGACTTTGAACCCGCTGGACGCTCTGGGCAATAATCAAGTAAGCAAAATGAGCTGATTGTGATATTGGAGAATCACTCAACTCATTCTCCGTGTGAGGTAGGTCCAAGAAAAAAAGAACCTGGGTCTATCGGCAATCAATCTTACATCAGCTACCTTCAACCAAGAGGCTATCGACGGAATCTTGTCGGGAAAATACGTGTTTATCTATGTGGTGAGAACACATACTCAATCACCTCACTTTCTTAATAATTGGTTGTTGGCTTGGTCCGCTGATTCAGACTTAATGTTTTTTTTTCGTCCTGCAATCTAAGTCTCCGGAAATTTTTTTGAACAACAATAAATTCAAAACACTCTACTTCTCAAACTCTTTCCAGAAACGTCTCATTCTCAAGGTAGTAGATGAGGCACATCTAATCTATAGTTGGGGGCTGGTAATGAGTGGTAAAATGAAGAATCTTCAGTCACACCATATCCACCAAGACCGCACTCCTTTTCGCCCCTCTTATGGAAGTTTGATCAATCGTTTTCTTGCAACTGAGGCGGTTCCTTCAATCCTGATGTCAGCAACTTGTCCGCCTCAGTATGTCGAACAAATTCTAGCCAGTCTCAAGATCACCAAAGATTATATTGACATGCACATTGGCGAGCTGACCCGACCTGAGATTCGCTTTATTCGTGTGGGACTTCCTTCTATGCAAAAACCATGGAACACCCTCAAGAAGTTATTCTCATCAAAACTCATCGTCTCCGACTCAGAACTGGTCCCAACTCTAGTTTATTGTCACTCTCAGAACGACACTTATGTAGCCCTGGATACAATCAACGAAGCTCGTCGCAATAAAGAAGAATCACTCAATGGATTGAGCAATTCTGTTCGCCGATTTCACGCTGACACCTGCCCAATCGACAAAGAACGGCATGCTGAAGATTTCATGAATGGGAAATTTAACATCTTCACGTGTACCAACGCGCTCGGCCTCGGTCAAAACTGGAAACGAGTTCGAAGGGTAATAATCTCTGGCCAGCTTGACTGTATGGACATCATCCAAATGGCGGGACGAGCAGGTCGTGATAAGCAACCCGCAGTGGCCATCTTGCTTGTTCGCCCACTATCTACTGTTGAAGAGAGCTCGATTTTGGAATTGAGCCATCCTGAAGATCAAGACGATGATCAGCGCATGCATGCAATGTCCATCACAGAGGTATGCTTGAGAGTGGCCTTTTCAGTCCTCCTCCGGTGCGTGATGACTTAATATCACAAAGACATTGTGTTTCACCTGCTAACCGATAGTACTTGTAGGTGTGGGTACATTCCACTTTCGAAAACTTCCAGCACAGTGATGACCGAAACTCAAAGGCAGAAAGACGCGGGAATGCCTAGCTGTCTCTGCTCGAACTGCAATCCGAAGGCTGCTGACTTCTTCCTTGCTCAGCAGCCTCGGTTATCGAAATCCAATTTCACCGATTTGGTTGTTCAAGATGTTATACCCGAAACCTACCCATCCCTGGATGACCAATTTGATGATGCCGATGCTGAAGAACCCTCGCCATATAGTAAGATAAGGAGTGTAGGACCTGAAGACCCTACACACACAGACCTGCGATTCATCCGACTACTCCTGAAGATAGAACAAGCTTTGATTACATTATTTCATTCCGAGTATCCTGCGGGAGGTTTTTATACGCTTGAAGACCTTTTTCCACGCGAAAAGCTTTGGAGAATTTGTGTCAACTACGATCTGTGTCTTGAAACAATATACCTCGATTTAATCTTTGGGAGTGAACCATTACCGAAGGCATACGCTGCTATCTTCCAATCAATCACATCTTGGAAAGCTAACCGGAAGGATATTTTTGCTGTTTTGGACCCATCTGAAGCAGAGCTACGGATCCACTACGAGGCAAAAGCACGAATCGAAAAATTTCGCAAAGAGTCTCAAGAGGCTAAACAAGCCGCGGCGGACAGGAAGAGGCAGGCTCGATCTGTTATGGAAGGACCGGTCTGTTCATTGTGTTTACTGAACATATCCATCAACACCGATTTCTTTTTATTATATGCTCAATGCTAAACAAGCGGCTTTGGTTTGTTAACACTCTATTTACAGGCCCTTTCAAATTCTGCTCAACGAGAGCAGGTATGTTTGTTCAATATATATTTAAAATTTTCAAGACATTTTCTTTGCATCTGAAATACAAACTTTTCATCTCTTCTTAGCCTACTGTTTCCGGCGCATCTAATAAAAAAAGACCACCCCCAAAGGTTGCTCGAGGTGCGAGGAAGACTAAGGAAAAAAAGGGCATTCACACTTCACCAACACCTGCTTGATCTTGTGTATCCACAACCCCACCTTTTGCTCCGAACCCCCAACGATATCTGCTTGTATTTTTTTTTTGGTCATTGATTAAATTGTGCTGTAGTCCGGTGGTTCCCGCCACAATAGAATCAATAAACCTTTCTTTCGCATGTGAGTTGACACCCGTGACAAATTGAAGATTCCATGAGCGTAAAAAGATGCCCAGGCTATGATGAGTGACT